TTTTTAACCAATGAAACCACCAAGCTACTCGTTCACTCCCTTGACTATTGTAACTCCCGTCTCATAGGCCTACCTCTCTATAGGCTATCCTCTCTTCAGTCCATAATGGATGCTGCTGCTAGGATCATTTACCTTACCAACCGCTCAGTGTCTGCCACCCCTCTCTGCCAAACCTTCCACTGGCTTCCGACTGCCCAGCAAATTAAATTCAAAACACTAACAACAACATACAAAGCCATCAACAACTCTGCCCTGAGCTTGATCACCAATCTTATCTCCACGTATCCCCCAAACCATCCTCTCCACTCCTCTCATGATCTCCTGCTCTCAAGATCCCTTGTTTCTCCTCCCATGGTTGTCTCTAGGACTTTGCCAGACCCTCTCCCATCCTCTGGAACTCTCTACCTCAATCTGTCTATCCCCTACTCTGGCTGCCTTTAGGCGATCCCTGTAAACTCATCTCTTCAGGGATGAGATCCGCATCCGAATGACATTTATCACTTCCATCAGGTACAGTTCCCACAGTTATAACCTTTTGTACCACTTGCCGCACCCTTGCCGCATTAGATTGTAAGCTCTGAGTAGGGCCCTCCTAATCCTCTTGATTTGATTGTATTGTAGCTGTACTGTATCCCTTTATATTGTAAAGCGCTGCACAAACTGTTGGCGCTATATAAGCCCTGTATAATAATAATAATAATACTAACATAGCATTGCCATGTGATTGTACATTGAGCAATGACATTCTCCATACAAGGCCATGTGGACATATTAGGTCAACGATGTCATCAGCATCCCTGTCCTTTTGTTACATGAGGCTGTGGGGTGGTGAATTCCATGGCCGCAGCTGGTTAGGCCAGCAGCCTGCTATCACATGACAGTTTCCTTTGGGTTTGGACTGAACTCTGTTCGACCCAAACCTTATCTCATCTTTATTGGGCATTAACCATTGTCAACTTGGGGTGGAACATGTAACATGTTCCAAAAGGTGAAGTTATTATTTAGTCCAGACCTGCTACTTGAATGGAATCCCAGATGTATTAAATAGGTTTCATTACAACATGTACACACAGAGGCATATTTACCATGAGGCAAACAAGGCATTTGCCTTAGCATTTTTTGCAGGGAGAGGGGAACGCCCCCTTGAAGAACGGACGCTGGTTGTCCTGTGCCAGTTCCTGTGTGGGGATGCTGTACCTATCACCGGGAGCAGATGGCGCTGTGTATGAGAAGGCTCCGTCGAGCACCAGGGCTAGGCGGCAGGTGGAAGAGAGGAGTGAGGGGAGCCGGGGAGCGGCCATGAGACTCCTGGAAAGCTGGGGTGGTGAGTCTCTCCCCTTCTCTCCCAGGGGTGTGGGGTGGGGGCAGGTGGGGGCTGGGGAGGTGTTGGGCGGTGATGGGGGGTGGCAGATATTTTGTGTTGCCTAGGGCAGCACAAAACCTAAATACACCACTGTGTACACATTCCTAGTTAAAACTGTTTGTCTGAGAAAACATTTTCTTCTGCATTTCTGAATTTTCCTGTAACCATGGTCCAAAATATATGTTGATTTCCCCCGTAAGAAAATCAGATAAGCGTTCCAAAAACTAACATTTTCAAACAAAATTCTACTGGTTTATGGTCACTAAGGACAAGCTAAGGTTTGGGAAATACTGAATTCAACCTAAACCCATGGGAAAAAGTGTTATATCAAAGCATGCCACCAGCCCAACCAGCTGTGAAATGGAATTCCCCAGTAACAGAAGGACGGGGATGCTGGTGACTTCATTGACCTAATATGTCCACATGGCTATATTTGGATAATATCATTTCCCAATATTTTTGGCCAGTCACAACATTGTTGCCCATTGTATACATGGCAATGCTATGTGGCCATATTAGGTTAATGATGCCACCAAAATTCCTGCCCCTCTATTAGAGGGAATTCCATGGCTGCAGCTGATTGGGTTGGCAGCCTGATGTCATTTGACAGCATTCCACAGTAAACCCTAGCTTATAATTACTGGCCATGCACCAGTAGAATTTCATGGTTGGGGTAAAATTGATATTCGTTTTCAACTGTAGTCATGAGAAAATTCAAAGGAGCAGGATGGAAAACTCTTCTCGAACTAACAAAATTCTAACTGTGAATGCAGTTTTCGTTTGGCAAAAATCATACATATTGTAATAAAACCTGTTTAATTGGTCTGAAATGCCATTCAAATAGCAGGTCTGGATGAATTTTTTAGAGTTATGGAATGAAATTAGTTGACTCAATGATGGCAAGCAAGAATGTTCTAACAGACAATTTTTTGCATTTGGGAACTGACTTTTAACCTTTTGTTTAAGCACTACTGCAACAGCCTATAACCAAGGGGCAGAGGTGCTGGTGACACCATTTACCTAATATGGCTAGCTTAAAGCAGACCTGGACCCACTTTACACACTCCATATGTTCTTCTTACTCCTCCACTTACTGTTACAAAATAAAAATTATTTTTTTTTACCCCAGATACCTCTTTCAGGGGTCCCAGGCTGGCTCTATCTCCTTTTCTCGCCTAGGTGAGAATGATGTATCCCCCCTCCCCAAAGTATTCTGGGATACATAAGTTATTCATTTCAGGAGGCTTTAAAGCAATCTCAAGAGCACTGCCTTTGCATGCGCTAGACAATTTTTTGTAACCTGTACATAGGAAAGAGAATAAAAAATGCAAAGGGGAAGCAAAGTTCCCTTTTAAGTAAGCTAACGAAATATTCAGAAGGGCCACTGCTGCAAGAATCTGCACAATGTACACTACTCAAAAAAATTTAACTTTGAAAACCCATAAGATCTCCATGGGGAAAAATCTCATGCTGGATATCTATACTGATATGGACGGGGTAATGTGTTAGGAACGTAAGGATGCCCCATCGTTTGATGGAAATTAAAATGATCAACCTACAGAGGACTGAATTCAAAGACACCCCTAAAATCAAAGTGAAAAAATTATGCAGCAGGCGAGTCCATTTTGCTGAAATATAATTGCAGCAACTCAGAATGGTCCTCAGTAGTATGTATGGCCCCCACGACGGATGGTGTCCTGGGGTATTTCCTCCCAGATCTGGACCAGGACATCACTGAGCTACTGGACAGTCTGAGGTGCAACCTGGCGGCATTGGATGGACCGAAACATGATATCCCAGAGGTGTTCTATTAGATTTAGGTCAGGCGAACGTGGGGGCTATCCAATGGTATCAATTCCTTCATCCTTCAGGAACTGCCTGCAAACTGTCGCCACGTGAGGCTGGGCATTGTCGTGCACCAGGAGGAACCCAGGACCCACTGCATCAGGGTAGGGTCTGACAATGGGTCCAAGGATTTCATCCCGATACCTAATGACAGTCAGGGGGCCATTGTCTAGCCTGTAGAGGTCTGTGTGTCCCTCCATGGATATGCCTTACCAAACCATCACTGACCCACCACCAAAATGGTCATGCTGAACCATGTTACAGGCAGCATAACATTCTCCACGACTTCTCCAGACCCTTTCACGTCTGTCACATGTGCCCAGGGTGAACCTGCTCTCATCTGGGAAAGGCATAGGGTGTCAATGGCGGACCCACCAATTCTGGTGTTTAATGGCAAATGCCATTCAAGCTCTATGGTGCCAGACAGTGAGCACAGAGCTCACTAGAGGATGTCGGGCCCTCAGGACACCCTCATGAAGTCTGTTTCTGATTGTTTGGACAGACATTCACACTAGTGGCCTGCTGGAGGTCATTTTGTAAGACTCTGGCAGTGCTCGCCCTGTTCCTCCTTGGCCAAAGGAGCAGATACTGGTCCTGCTGATGGGTTAAGGACCTTCTATGGCCCTGTCCAGCTCTCCTAGAATAACTTCCTGTCTCCTGGAATCTTCTCCATGCTCTTGAGACTGTGCTGGGAGACACAGCAATGTTTTTGGCAATGGCACGTATTGATGTGTCATCCTGAAGGATGCAACCTTTGTAGGATCCATGCATCACCTCATGCTACCAGTAGTGACACTGACCCTAGCCAAATGCAAAACTAGTGAAAAACATTCAGAAAAGATGAGTAGGAAAAAAAATTGTCAGTGTCCTCCACCTGTAAAACCATTCCTGTTTTGAGGGTCATCACATTGTTGCCCATGTAGTGCACCTGTTAATTTCATTAACACCAAAGCAACTGAAACTGATTAACAACCCCCTCTGCTACTTAACTTGACCAGATCAATATCCCAGGAGTTTAATTGACTTGATGCTATACTCTGATTAAAATGTGTTCCTTTAATTTTTTTTGAGCAATGTATAATGGCATCATGGTTGCCTCTTGCAAACAGTCATAAATGCTCTGCTCTTCGCTTCTCACCTCAGCTCCACTGTCCAAAGATTCCAGCTTCAAACAGTCCATGACCATCTGAAAACCGTAAACAAGACGTAGAAATGTTACTCAACTTCCAAAACTCTACTTGGACTCTTAGGAGTATAGCGACTCTATTTCTACTTCTTCTCTCATGGTTGATGTATTGTTTAAAGCTCATAAAAATAGGATATTTTCCAAGATAGGCAGTTTTTGCTGTTACAGCCTCAAAGCTTTATGAAACAAGGAATTTTCCTAAAGAAAAAAAAAAAATAATAAGGCTTCACAAAAGTAGACACCATGCATTTTTGCTTTGTGTTAAGAGCTGGCACATGCACAATGCGACTACCACCTGTTCACAGGCAGGGCCCGGCGCTGTGCCACTATATAATTCATTGTAGGGTTCTTGAAGGCCTATCCTGTCCATTAGTTGCTATCACCAACATAGGGTAATTAGGTCTCCTCGAAAACCTGTAAAGCCATTCCTGTTTTTGGGGTCATCTCATTATTACCCATGTAGTGCACCTGTTAATTTCATTAACACCAAAGCAGCTGAAACTGATTAACAACCCCCTCTACTACCCAACTTGACCAGATCAGTATCCCAGGAGTTTAATTGACTTGATGCTATACTCTGATTAAAATGTGTTCCTTTGATTTTTTTGAGCAATGTATAATGGCATCATGGTTGCCTCTTGCAAACAGTCATAAACAGGGGTGGACTGACAACTCATGGGGCCCCCGGGCAATAGGGATCATGGGGCCCCTGTGTCCTTGCCCAAACTCAAAAAAGCCTATGAAAAAGGTACCAGGGGCATCTCATGGGGCCCCTTACTGACCCCGGGCCCTCGGGCGGTGCCCAAGTTTCCAAATGGTCAGTCCGCCCCTGGTCATAAATGCTCTGCTCTTTGCTTCTAACCTCAGCTCCACTGTCCAACGATTCCAGCTTCAAACAGTCCATAACTATCTGAAAACTGTAAACAAGGCGTAGAAATGGAGTCACTCAACTTCCAAGAGTCCAAGGTGAGTTTTTAAAGTTACTTGCCTGTATCTGGTAACTTTAATAAACTCTACCTGGACTCTTAGGAGTATAGCGACTCTATTTCTACTTCTTCTCTCATGGTTGATGTATTGTTTAAAGCTCATAAAAATAGGATATTTTCCAAGATAGGCAGTTTTTGCTGTTGCAGTCTCAAAGCTTTATGAAACAAGGAATTTTCCTAAAGAAAAAAAATAATAATAAGGCTTCACAAAAGTAGACACCATGCATTTTTGCTTTGTGTTAAGAGCTGGCACATGCACAATGCGACTACCACCTGTTCACAGGCAGGGCCCGGTGCTGTGCCACTAGATAATTCATTGTAGGGTTCCTGAAGGCCTGTCCTGTCCATTAGTTGCTCAATATCACCAACATAGGGTAATTACTGTATTTGCCGGCGTATAAAACGACCCCCAACATTTCCACTCAAAATATAGAGTTTGTTATATACTCGCCGTATAAGACTACCCCCTCTTTCTTTTTGCTGGTGCCATGATAGGGTTGATAGGGGTTTGACTGCTGGACATTCTCTATGCTGTATTGTACTGTACAATGGTGCAGTACTGTGGTTGGCTGTTGGCTGTATACAAAGCCTGATTGGATTGGTCCCTGCTCCCTGTCTGCCCTCCCTGTCTTCATGTCACTACCATGTCCCTGCATCTCCCTGTAATTGGCACTAGTGTGCAAGTCCGCATGTGCAAGCTCTGCGTAGACAAGGGGCGGGCCGGAGCGCCGCTGCTTCCCGCCGAGCAGAACGGGCCAGTCACGCCGAAAAGGCTGGCACCCCTGTATTGCTGCTGATGCTCGCCGCAACCACGCTGATGACCCGCCGCGGCCGCACTGGATACCGCGCGATACTGGATGGTATGTAGAATGAGGAGGGCGGGCATTGGGAGGCCACTATGGGCACCAGGCGAGTATCGGAAAGCCACTATGGCAGCTACAGTGGGGATCGAAAGTTTGGGCACCCCAGCTAAAAAATTTGTATTAATGTGCATAAAGAAGCCAAGGAAAGATGGAAAAATCTCCAAAAGCATCAAATTACAGATTAGACATTCTTATAATATGTCAACAAAAGTTAGATTTTTATTTCCATCATTTACACTTTCACAATAACAGAAAACCAAAAAATGGCGTCTGCAAAAGTTTGGGCACCCTGCAGAATTTATAGCATGCACTGCCCCCTTTGGCAAGTATCACAGCTTGTAAACGCTTTTTGTAGCCAGCCAAGAGTCTTTCAATTCTTGTTTGAGGTATCTTTGCCCATTCTTCCTTACAAAAGTCTTCCAGTTCTTTGAGATTTCTGGGCTGTCTGTCACGCACTGCTCTTTTAAGGTCTATCCATAGATTTTCAATTATGTTGAGGTCAGGAGATTGTGAAGGCCATGGCAAAACCTTCAGTTTACGCCGCTTGATGTAATCCCCCGTGGATTTCGAGGTGTGTTTAGGATCATTATCCATTTGTAGAAGCCATCCTCTCTTTAACTTCAGCTTTTTCACAGATGGCATCAAGTTACCATCCAAAATTTGCTGACATCTTATTGAATCCATTTTTTCCTTCTACTCGTGAGATGTTCCCTGTGCCACTGGCTGCAACACAACCCCAAAGCATGATTATCCAACCCCATGCTTAACAGTTGGACAGAGGTTCTTTTCATTAAATTCTGTGCCCCTTCTTCTCCAAACGTACCTTTGCTCATTCCGGCCAAAAAGTTCAATTTTAACCTCATCGGTCCACAGAACTTGTTTCCAAAATGCATCAGGCTTGTCTATATGTTCATTTGCAAAGTTCAAACGATGATTTTTGTGGTGAGGACGTAGAAGAGGTTTTCTTCTGATGACTCTTCCATGAAGACCATATTTGTACAAGTATCTCTTTATAGTGGAATAGTGTACCACAACTCCAGTGTCTGCCAGATCTTTCTGGAGGGATCGTGCAGTCAAACGTGGGTTTTGAATTGTTTTTCTCACAATCCTGCGAGCTGTTCTGTCTGATATTTTTCTTGGTCTTCCAGATCTTGCTTTAACTTCCACTGTTCCTGATGACTGCCATTTCTTAATTACATTCCGAACAGAGGATATTGACATCTGAAAACGCTTTGCTATCTTCTTATAGCCTTCTCCAGCTTTTTGAGCGTCAACTATTTTCAGTTTCAGTTTTCTAGACAACTGCTTAGAAGAACCCATGGTGCTGATTGTTGGGGCAAGGTCAGATGAGTCTGGGCATTTAAAACCTTTGAGATTGACATCACCTGGTTTTCCCAGACGATGATTGAGAACAATCCATGACACTGGCAGGTCTCAGCTTTGCAAAGGGGGCAGTACAAGATATTAACTCTGCAGGGTGCCCAAACTTTTGCAGACGCCATTTTTTTTTCTGTTATTTTGAAAGTGTAAATGATGGAAATAAAATCTAACTTTTGTTGACATATTATAAGAATGTCTAATCTGTAATTTGATGCCTTTTGGAGATTTTTCCATCTTTCTTTGGCTTCTTTATGCACATTAATTCAAATTTTTAGCTGGGGTGCCCAAACTTTCGATCCCCACTGTATGTCTATCCCAACTGAAGTGCACCCGGCGTATAAGACGACCCCCCCACTTGGAGGCATGTTTTTTTCAGGGCGAAAAAGTCATCTTATACGCCGGCAAACACGGTAAGTCTCCTCGAAAACCTGTAAAGCCATTCCTGTTTTGGGGGTCATCTCATTGTTGCCCATGTAGTGCACCTGTTAATTTCATTAACACCAAAGCAGCTGAAACTGATTAACAACCCCCTCTGCTACTTAACTTGACCAGATCAGTATCCCAGGAGTTTAATTGACTTGATGCTATACTCTGATTAAAATGTGTTCCTTTGATTTTTTTGAGCAATGTATAATGGCATCATGTTTGCCTCTTGCAAACAGTCATAAACAGGGGTGGACTGACAACTCATGGGGCCCCCAGGCAATAGGGATCATGGGGCCCCTGTGTCCTTAGCCAAACTCAAAAAAGCCTATGAAAAAGGTACCAGGGGCATCTCATGGGGCCCCCTACTGACCCTGGGCCCTCGGGCAGTGCCTGAGTTTCCAAATGGTCAGTCCGCCCCTGGTCATACATGCTCTGCTCTTCACTTCTCACCTCAGCTCCACTGTCCAAAGATTCCAGCTTCAAACAGTCCATGACCATCTGAAAACCATAAACAAGACGTAGAAATGAAGTCACTCAACTTCCAAGAGTCCAAGGTGAGTTTTTAAAGTTACTTGCCTGTATTGGGTAACTTTAATAAACTCTACCTGGACTCTTAGGAGTATAGCGACTCTAATTCTACTTCTTCTCTCATGGTTGATGTATTGTTTAAAGCTCATAAAAATAGGATATTTTCCAAGATAGGCAGTTTTTGCTGTTGCAGTCTCAAAGCTTTATGAAACAAGGAATTTTCCTAAAGAAAAAAAATAATAATAAGGCTTCACAAAAGTAGACACCATGCATTTTTGCTTTGTGTTAAGAGCTGGCACATGCACAATGCGACTACCACCTGTTCACAGGC